CAGGCATGGTGGTTCACGCCAATAATCCCACCACTTTGGGAGGCTGAGGTGGGCAGGTAGCTTGAGGTCAGGAATTCAAGACCAGCCTGGGCAACATGGTGAAAGCCTGTCTCTATGGAAAATACAAAAATTAGTCAGGCGAGGTGGTGTGCACCTATAATCCCAGGTACTCGGGAGGCTGAGGTTGGAGGATCACTTCAGCCAAGGAGATCAAGACTGCAGTGAGCTGTGATTGTACCACTGCACTTTAGCCTGGCTGACAGAGTGAGACCCTGTCTCTGGGGGTTAGGGCTTCAATGTGTGGATTTGGAGGGAACAAAATTCATCCCACAAGATGATAGAGACAACAACAAACCAAAAGAAAAATCCCAGCACTTTGGGAGGCTGAGGCAGGCAGATCACCTGAGGTCAGGAGATCAAGACCAGCCTGGCCAACGTGGCGAAGCCCCATCTCTACTAAAAATACAAAATTTAGCCAGGCGTGGTGGTGTGCACCTGTAATTCCAGCTACACAGGAGGCTGAGGCAGGAGAATCACTGGAACGTGGAAGGCAGAGACTGCAGTGAGCCAAGATCACGCCACTGCACTCCAGCCTGGGTGACAGAGCAAGACTCTGTCTCAAAAAAAAAAAAAAAAAAAAAAAAAAAAAATGCAACTGAAGGAAACATACTGTGCAGAAATATTTTGAAGAAAACTTTAAAAAATGTTATTAGTCTTAGAGATATGAGAAGATATTACATCCATTAAACAAGAATAATATACCATAAAAAAAATTCAAAGAATGAAAAGGGCTCTTAAAAGTTCAAAACATGGCTGGGCAGAGTGGTCACACCTGTAATCCCAGCACTTCAAGAGGCTGAGGCAGACAAATCACCTGAGGTCAGGAGTTTGAGACAAGGCTGGCCAACAGGCTGAGACCCCATCTCTACTAAAAATACAAAAAATTAGCTGGGGATGGTGGCGTGAGCCTGTAATCTCAGCTAGTTGGGAGGCTGAGGCAGGAGAATCGCTTGAACCCAGTAGGTGGAGTGCAGTGAGCCAAGAAAAGAAAAAGAAAAAAATTCATGAGAGCTGAGCATAAGCCACACTAAATGCACACTCAGGAAATATTAATACGTATCAGTTATGTTTTGAGGATGTATGTTCACAAATACAAAACCTCTGGGGAGGCCGAGGCAGGTGGATCACAAGGTCGGGAGTTCAAGACCAGCCTGGCCAACACAGTGAAAACCCATCTCCACTAAAAATACAAAAATCAGCTGAGTGTGGTGGCGGGCACCTGTAGTCCCAGCTACTTGGGAGGCTGAGGTGGGAGAATTGCTTGAACTCGGGAGGCAGAGGTTACAGTGAGCCAAGATTGCACCACCATGCTCCAGCCTGGGCGACAGAGCAAGACTCTGCCTTTTCTATCTCAGAAATCCCTGGAGTCTGCCTTTGCTTGAGAAATTAGTTTATCCAGCTATACTTGATGGAAAACCCAGTGCTTCAGTAACAGAAAGAACTTTGTGGTGTAAGCCATTCTAGAATAAGTAGACAGGCTGGAGGTCTCTTCCGTGGAATGCCAGTTAGCTGTATCCTACAGACAGACCTCCAACAAAGACTTCATCCCAGGGACACAATGGCTCTGCCAAAGCTATGACTCTGGAATCAGGACACATTGGTTGTTCTATCTGGACATATTTCTCTAAGTAAACAAGTCGCTCTTCCTTAAAGTAGTTGTTGTGTTGCTATATTCCCATCACATTCCCAGGGGTGTGAAACAGTAGACTCCAATCTACTAGAGATGGGGCCATTTTCTCAGCAACACTTGCTTATTATATCCTGTTAAAAAATCTTTATTAAAGTATAACCTGCATATAGAAAAATGGGCAAAACACAAATGTATAACTCCATGAACAATTATGAAGTGAAAACCTATATAGTTTTTAAAAATATTTTTTAAACATACATATTTTTAAAAATACAACATTGTGGCCGGGCACAGTGGTTCACATATGTAATCCCAGCACTTTGGGAGGCCAAGGGGGGAGTGGATCACTTAAGGTCAGAAGTTCGAGACCAGCCTGCCCAACATGGAGAAACCCCATCTCTACTAAAAATACAAAATTAGCTGACATGGTGGTGCATGCTTGTAATTCCAGCTACTCAGGAGGCTGAGGCAGGAGAATCGCTTGAACCCGGGAGGCGGAGGTTGCAGTGAGCCAAGATTGTGCCGTCATGCTCCAGCCTGGGGTATAAGAGCGAAACTCTGTCTCAAAAAAAACAAATACAGTGCCATCACACCAAAAGCCCCAAACAGTATCAGCTACCACTGCTATCATTACTTAAACATTGTGGTTTAATTTAGCCAATTATTGAACTTTGAAGTGTACATTTTGATTTTTTAGTATATTCACAAGATTTTGCAACCATCACTATAATTTAATTTTAGAGAATTTTTGTCCTCTGTCAAGTAACCCCTCATACCCATTCACAGTCACTTCATACTCCCCACATCCTGTCCCTAACCTAAAGACCTACTTTTTGTCTCCATAGATTTGCCTCTTCTAGACCCTTTACATAAATGTAATGAGTCTTTTGTGACCAGCCTCTTTAACATAGCGTAATGCTTTAAGGTTCATCCATGTTGTCAAATGTATGGATATGTCATATCTTTTTATTGCCAAATAACAGTCCATTGTGTGGCTGTACCAATATTTTATGTATTCATTCCTCAGCTGAGAGACATTTGGGTGGTTTTCACTTTCTTGCTATTAACAATAATGCTGCTCTGAACATTTGTGTAAAATAAAAATAAATAGCATCCTACAATTAGTATGGAAACAACAGAAATTTATTTCTCATAATTCTGGAATCTGAGAAGTTCTGTATCAAGGATCTGATAGATTCAATGTCTGGTGAGGAAATGCTTCATAAATGGTTCATAAATGGTGCTTTCTTGCTGTGTCTTCATGGTGGAAGGGGCAAGGTCTTTCTGGGGCCTTTATTTATTTATTTATTTATTTATTCATTCATTCATTCATTTATATTTTTGGAGATGAGGTCTTGCTCTGTCATGCAGGCTGGAGTGCAGTGGCACAGTCATTGCTCACTGCAGTAGCCTTGACCTTCTGGGCTCAAGTGATCCTCCTACCTCAGCCTTCTGAGGGGCTTGGACTGCAGGCGTTTTCCACCACATCCAGCTAAACTGGAGCCTCTTTTATAAGAACATTTATCCCATTCATGAGTGCTCCACCCTTCTGACCTAATCACCTCCCAAAGGCCCACTTCTTAATATTATCACTTTGATGATTAGGTTCCAAGATATGAATTTTGGAGGAACACAAACATTTAGACCATAGCCCTTGCTTAATGCGCTGTGGACAGGAATATACTCTGTCCCATTAAAAAGAATCTAGTGAGGCTTTCTTTCTGGCCCAGCAGATGGTCAGTTTAGATTCATGTTCCATGTGTACTTGACAAGAATGTGAAATATATCGCAGCTTCATAACATGTTTTCTATGTGTTAATTAGGTCAACTCTTGTTGATGTTGTTGATAGCTCTTCTCTGTCCTTATTGGCTTTTTGTTTATGTGTTTGTTTTTGGTCTATTTCTTCCATCGACTATTGTGAGAGATGTGTTAGTCTTCCATTGTAGTGAATTTGTCTATTTGTCATTTTAGTTCTGTCAATATTTATTTCATTACTTCTGGATAGGTTTTTATAGTAATGTAATTTATCAGGGGAACCAGCCCCCAATATTTCAACATAGCCCCCAATATTTCTATTTTCCCTAAGTGTCCACTGGTCTAAGAAATAAAGAGAAAGAATACAAAGAGAGAAATTTTACAGCTGGGCCTCCGGGGGTGTCATCACATATTGGCAGGACCGTGATGACAACCTCAAGCCACAAAACCAGCAAGTTTTTATTAGGGATTTTAAAAGGGGAGGGGGTGTATGAACAGGGAGTAAGTCACAAAGATCACATGCTTCAAAGGGCAATAAAGATCACAAGGCAAGGCAAAATTAGAATTACTGATGAGGGTCTATGTCCCACTGTGCACTCATTGTCTTGATAAACATCTTAATAGGAAACAGGGTTCGAGAGCAGACAACCAGTCTGACTAGAATTTACCAGGCTGGAATATCCAAATCCTAGTAAGCCTGAGGTTACTGCAGGAGACCAGGGAGTATTTCAGTCCTTATCTCAACCACATAAGACAGACACTCCCAGAGCAGCCATCTATAGACCTACTACCCCCAGGAATGCATGCCTTCCCCAGGGTTATTCCTTAATGGGAAAAGAATTCAGCGATATTTCTCCTTCTTGCTTTCTGCAAGAAGAAAAGTATAGCTCTATTCTGTCCAACCCCACAGGCAGTCACACCTTATGGTTATCTTCCCTTGTTCCCTGAAAATCGCTGTTATTCTGTTCTTTTTCAGGGTGCACTGACTTCATGTTGTTCAAACACACGTTTTACAATCCATTTGTACAATAGTGGTCCTGAGGTGACGTACATTCTCAGCTTACGAAGATAACATGATTAAGAGATTAAAGACAAGACAGGCATAAGAAATTATAAAAGTATTGATTGAGAAAGTGATAAATGTCCATGAAATCTTCACAATTTATATTCAGAGATTGCAGTACAGACAGATGTAAGAAATTGTAAAAGTATTAATTTTGGGAACTGATAAGTGTCCATGAAATCTTCACAATTTATATTCTTCTGTCTCAGCTCCAGCCGATCCCTCCATTCGGGGTCCCTGACTTCTGGCAACAGTAATTCATATGCTTTTAGTTTCAACCATTCTAAGCCTTTATCTCTGCAGTATATCCCTTGTAAACAGCTGACAGTAAGACCCAGCCTGCACCTGTTTTCCCCTTCTTCCTTGAATATAAATGTAGAAAGCTGGGCTTTTTTTTGAGAGCTTGGGAGATTTTTGTCTCAACTCAAAGAGACTAGAGGATGACTCATCTATTTTTCATTAGTTTTAAACTCAGCTTTTTTACTTCCTGTAGAGTTTCAGAATTTGGCAAAGGTCTCAAGGCTCAAGCTGGTTGTCTGTAGCCTTTCAAACGCCCAGCTTTATCACCACATATGAGGTATGGATCCAAGTTTATTTTGTGGTTTTTTGTTTTTGCATGTGGATATTCAATTGTTCCAGCACCATTTGTTGAACTTTAAATATGCATTTAAAGGTGTGTATACATGCTGATTTGTCAAACGGATAGACTGGGCTAGTTGTTTACCTATATTTCTCAACTCTAAACCTTCCTTCTAAATCCTGCTCTGTGCTGCTGGGGCTGAGGCTCTACAAACTGTATGTCCTAGACTCCCTTGCCAGTTGGCTTTCTGTTACATCTGCAAATAAGAACTGTTAATAAGGGACTGCTGTTGGGAGAAAAGCTGAGAATTGGGAGAGAAGTTGAGGCAGGGCTTGGAACATGTCCGGGGCCCAGTGTCTAAAACCCCTCTTGGTCTTTGGAATGTGTCTAGACTTGCTGACTCCTTGCTTCTAGCACTTCCATTATCTCAAGTAGCCATATGTTTCAAAGAACATGCTAAATCATCACAGCTGTAGCTCACTCACTTGATACACCGCTTCCTTTCAACCCCTACATCCTCACCACCTGTTTCTTTGTTTGATCACCAATAAATAGTGTGGGATCCCAGAGTTTGGGGCCTTCGCAGCCTCTGTACTAGTGTTGGCCCCCTGGTCCCACATTCTCTCTTAACTTGTCTTTTCTCATTCCTTTGTCTCCACCAGACTTCGTCACCCCTACAGCCTGGTGTTGGATCCAATCACCCCAACAACTGGAATACAGAAGGGAATAAGAAGAAGATTCCTTCCTAATTGCTAGCTTCTGTTAGCGTAGCTGATGCCATGACCCCAGCTGCCAGCTCTCAGTCTTCACCTGAACCAGGTGGCACCCCTTTGAGAAACAGTGCTACCCTTCACCTCCTTCACCTGCCAATCTGGGCTTCCTCTATGGAGGTCCCAACACCCATGGGTCTGTGTCCTTTTCTCAGAGGTCCCAGCACCAGACACAGGACTCCTCTTCTCGGTGGTACAACCAGCAGCTTCCAGGCCCTGCCACATATACAGAGCTTGGGGATCAGCTATAGAGAGCCAATCCCCTGGGAACCCATTAGTCCAAGGGGGCCTCTCCTCCAAGTGCCTACATTCTGGAAAAGGCTTCACCTCTATTTTCTACAGTCATGATACCTGGGTAACTCAGTGCTCCCTTTGGATTTTTCTTAGCTCTTCAACACCTATGTAAATCTGCATGAAGCCTCCACTGTTTGAATACAGTGTGATTCCCTGCTGAGCCCTAACTGATAACACTGTGTTTCCAGTGTCCCTCATCCACTAGACGCAGTGGTATCAGGAATGGTGTGGTATTTTGTTATAAATTAATTTAATTCCTTAGATGGACACGCAGAGAGCCTCAATAAATATTTTTAATCTATCAATGCAAGGAATGTGGTTGTCGGAAGTCAGCCAAAAGTACAAGTTTAAATCTAAGCCCTGCCATTCACAACTTGGGTGACCTCAGCTTCTTTTTTGGAAATGACGTTCATATTTTCCAAGCACTTTTTCTGTGCCAGGTGCTTCCAAATGTATCTCATTTAATCCTCACAACATACCTCAGAGGAAGACATTATTTTTACAAGTAAGGAAATAGAGGCTCAGAGAGATGAAGTGGTTGACTCGTGCTGTCTATCTTGTAAATGGTGGGCTGTGATTCCCACACCACTGGAGTTTCTGGAGTCAGGGGCTGCCTGGACTCAGGGGCTGCCTGACTCCAGAAACCATTTTCTGTGCATTTCCTGTACCCCCACCTCAATTGCTTTTCTTTCCTCATCTGTGGACTGATTAAATAAAATGTATCATTTGGATGAAATTAGATAAATAATTCTGAATGCATTCTTTTTTAGAATAAATGAACTGCAGTTCAGTACTTTATTCTTGCTAACAAATTCACGGGCCTGGTCTTTCCATTCATGTGTTGTCTTTTCTTGCTTTTTTTTTTTTTTTTTTTTTGACAGAGTCTCGCTTTGTCACCCAGACTAGAGTGCAGTGGTGCCATCTCGGCTTACCGCAAGCTCCACCTCCCAGGTTCAAGGGATTCTCCTGCCTCAGTCTCCCGTGTAGCTGGGATTACAGGGATGTGCTACCATGTCTGGCTAATTTTTGTATTTTTAGTAGAGACAGGGTTTCACCATGTTGGCCAGGCTGGTCTCGAACTCCTGACCTCAAGTGATCTGTGCACCTCGGCCTCCCAAAGTGCTGGGATTACAGGCATGAGCCACCGTGCCCAGCCCCCATACGTTTTCTTGCTGGCCACGCTGCACACCATCTGCTAAATTGCCATTTCTGCCTGGCCATCTCACTTGTCACCCTCTCATCCCTGACCTGATCCCAGTGTATCTGCTTTTTCATGACCCAGGGATCAGATTCTTCTGCAGAGGACAGCCCTGCGAGGTCCAGGTTACGGACTCCTGCTCAAGCACATGTAGAATGCGAACCTGATGGTGTCTGGGTCCTTCAGTAGTATTCGCAGCAGCCTACTGAACTCTGCCTTCCAAGATCCAGTTCATATTTTAGGACTCCAGGGTAAATATTGCAAAGTCCTTCCCATTTCCCCTGCCTCAGAACAGCATCATGGAAAGCCTGGAATGGAAAAAGAGAATGAGCCCAAACCCAGCAGCTTAGGCCATGAGGCATTCTTATTCCACATCGCTCCACATGACTCCATATTTGTTGCCTCCCCATCTGTTCCAACCCAACTAGGCTGGTGCAGGAGGAGCCCAGGGGGTCCTGCTTATCACTGAATTCCTTTACTGATTCTGTTGTTTTAAAGAGAAAGAATCCCCATGAAAGGTCGACCACAGGAACTGGGGACCTGTCAATGATCCCAATAGGTAAGGAAGACTCCTTTGCAGTGAGCTCCAGGGGACTTTTCAACCACTCACAGTGACCAGTGGGAATAGTGAGAGGTGACAATGTACTAGCAGCCCTCACTCTCAGTGCCTGCTTGGCCTCGGCATCCACTCTGGCCCGCCGAGCTTGGCCCACGCCCTCCAGAATGCACTTGGAGAACTTTTCTGTCTAGCACTCTGTGTCTAGCTAAAGGATTGTAAACACACCAATCAGCACTCTGCCAAAATGGACCAATCAGGTCTCTGTAAAATAGACCAATCAGCTCTCTGTAAAATGGACCAATCAGCAGGATGTGGGAGGGATCAGATAAGGGAATAAAAGCAAGCTGCCCAAGCTAGCACTGGCGACCCGCTGGGGTCTTCTTCCACACTATGGAGATTTTGTTCTTTCGCTCTTTACAATAAATCTTGCTGCTGCTCACTCTTTGGGCCCACGCCGCCTTTAAGAGCTGTAACACTCACCATGAAGGTCTGTAGCTTCACTCCTGAAGCCAGCGAGACCACGAACCCACCAGAAGGAAGGAGCTCCAGACACATCTGAACATCTGAAGGAACAAACTCTGGACACACCATCTTTAAGAACTGTAACACTCACCGCAAGGGTCCGCAGCTTCATTCTTGAAGTCAGCAAGACCAAGAACCCAATTCCGGACACAGTAGGACACAAAAGGTGATGCCAAACCTGGCATAATGGCTGAGAACCTTGACTCATCCCAAATCCCAGAGTAAATGCAGGGCACCTGAGGCAGCTGCCAAGGGACAGATGTCCTTTCATAGCAGCTCTGGACAAGGCCCTCATTTATTTCTGTCACCTGCCCCCCTCTCTCTTTAAAAACCTAGGCATTTTGTCCTCTTTTTCTCATTTTTGTCCTACACAGGAACATGAGAGCCACCTGGTGGAAGGTTTTATTAGCAAGGAGGACGAGGGAGAGTTTGGCAGCTCGCCAGAGCTACAGATTGTGGAGAAGCAGCTAAGATAGCCCCCAGAGAGGAGATCTGTGCTATCCTGGGGCACAGGCAGGTTGATATATCAGCTGCAGAACAGTGTCTAGACCAGAAGCCTTTGCTCACTGTGAGAGACAGGCCGGGTCACTTACTTGCTCACTGCGCATGGGGGCTGAGTGATGTCTGTTAGAGATCCATGGAGGCCCTTTGTCAGATGAGTAGATTGCAAAAATTTTCTTCCATTCTGTAGGTTGCCTGTTCACTCTGATGGTAGTTTCTTTTGCTTTGCAGAAGCTCTTTAGTTTAATTGATTCCATTTGTCAATTTTGGCTTTCGTTGCCATTGCTTTTGGTGTATTAGACGTGAAGTCCTTGCCCATGCCTATGTCCTGAATGGTATTCCCTAGGTTTTCTTCTAGGCTTTTTATGGTTTTAGGTCTAACATTTAAGTCTCTAATCCATCTTGAATTAATTTTTGTATAAGGTGTAAGGAAAGGATCCAGTTTCAGCTTTCTACTTATGGCTAGCCGATTTTCCCAGCACCATTTATTAAATAGGGAATCCTTTCCCCATTTCTTGTTTTTGTCAGGTTTGCCAAAGATCAGATGGCTGTAGATGTGTGGTGTTATTTCTGAGGGCTCTGTTCTGTTCCATTGGTCTATATCTCTGTTTTGGTACCAGTACCATGCTGTTTTGGTTACTGTAGCCTTGTAGCATAGTTTGAAGTCAGGTAGCATGATGCCTCCAGCTTTGTTCTTTTGGCTTAGGATTGTCTTGGCAATGCAGGGTCTTTTTTGGTTCCATATGTACTTAAAGCAGTTTTTTCCAATTCTGTGAAGAAAGTGATTGGTAGCTTAATGGGGATGTCATTGAATCTATAAATTACCTTGGGCAGTATGGCCATTTTCACGATATTGATTCTTCCTATCCATGAGCATGGTATGTTCTTCCATTTGTTTGTGTCCTCTTTTATTTCACTGAGCAGTGGTTTGTAGTTCTCCTTGAAGAGGTCCTTTACATCCCTTGTAAGTTGGATTCCTAGGTATTTTATTCTCTTTGAAGCTATTGTGAATGGGAGTTCATTCATGATTTAGCTTTCTGTTTGTCTGTTACTGGTGTATAAGAATGCTTGTGATTTTTGCACATTGATTTTGTATCCTGAGACTTTGCTGAAGTTGCTTATCAGCTTAAGGAAATTTTGGGCTGAGACAATGGGGTTTTCTAAATATACAATCATATCATCTGCAAACAGGGACAATTTGACTTCTTCTTTTCCTAACCAAATACCCTTTATTTCTTTTTCTTACCTGATTGCCCTAGCCAGAACTTCCAACACTATGTTGAATAGGAGTGGTAAGAGAGGGCATCCCTGTCTTGTAATGTTTATTTCTTGACATATTACATTGGCTAGAATGAAAAATACAGTGTTGGCTGGGTGTGGTGGCTCACGCCTGTAATCCCAAGACTTTGGGAAGCCGAGGCGGGCAGATCACTTGAGGCCAGGAGTTCAAGTCCATCCTAGCCAACACAGCGAAACTCTGTCTGTAATAAACATACAAAAATTAGCTGGGTCTGGTGGCCTGCGCCTGTAATCCCATCTTCTTGGGAGGCTGAGGTAGGAGAATTGCTTGAACCCAGAAGGCGGAGGTTGCAGTGGCCCAAGATTGCACCACTGCATTCCAGCCTGGGCGCCAGAGCGAGACTCTGTCTCAAAAAAAAGAAAGAGAAAGAGAAAAAGGAAAGGAGAGAAGAGAGGAGAGGACAGGAGGGGAGGGAAGGGAAGAGGAGGGGAGGGAAGGGAAGAGGAGGGGAGGGGAGCGGAGGGGAGAGAAGAGCAAAGGGAAGATAAACAATATTAACTATATTTAGAATGAGGGGTATCCTTGAAGATCACGGGCATCCTTGTCTTAATAACAGTCTGAGAGGGAAAAGTTTTCAATAGTTTCAGTATTCCATCACTATAGCATTACAATGCTTTTTCACTTTTTAAAGATACTATTTATCAGATTAAGGTAGTTCCATCCTACTTTGGTAAAAGGGATTTTTTTCTTTTGTTGTAACAGATGTATGTTGAATTTTATAAAGGTTTTTAAACATATGGTTTTTTCCTTTATTTTATAAAAATGGTGAATAACACTAATTTTCAAGTATTAAATCAACCTCAAGTTCCTAAAATAAACCCAACCTGGTTTTCACACATTATCTCTTTAAATATTGCTGAATTCAGTTTGCTTTCATTTAGGAATTTTGTACCTATGTTCATGATTGACTTAGTCAATAGTTTTGTTTATTTCTTCTTCTAATATTATTGTCAGATTTTGACATCAAGATTATGTTGGCCTTATAAAGCAAGTTTGAAAATGTCTGTTCCTTTTGTCCCTGGAAAAGGTTGCATAATACTTGTATTTTTTCCTTAAATATAGGAAGAATTCATTGATCTGGGCCTGAAGTATTTTCGTGGGCTTTTTTTGTGTGTGTGTGGCAGGGGGCTGGGCGGGTAAGGTTAAAATTTCAGATTCAGTTTTGTTTCAGATAGAGCACGATTTAAATATCTATTTATTTTGTGTCCATTTTGACAAGTTTTGTCTTCCTAAGAATTTACACATTTTATATACATCTTCAAATGTATTGATATAAAGTTGTTCACAATATTCTCCCATTACTTATTTGGTTTCTGCTTGGTCTACAGTGACAGATCCTTTTCATTCCCAACATTGCTCTTTGTCTTTCTTCATCAGTCTTGCTAGAATTTTATAAATTTTTTATTTTAAGAAACCAGCTTTTTTTTGATACTCTGAGCTATTATGTTTTACATGTTATTAATTTTCCTTCTTACATTTTGATATATTTAGACAACTGATTTTGTCACCCTTTATCTTTACTTATAAAAGCGTTTAATATATTTTTTCTCTAAATTTCTTATTAGTTGCATCCCACACATTTTTTACTATAATTCAGTTTAAAATGCTTTATTTCCATTATGGTTTCTTCTTTGATCTACAGGTTATTTAGAAGTGCATTGCTTAATTTAAAAATACGTGGTGATTTTTCCATTTATCTTTTTGTTATAGATTTCTAGTTTAATTTCACTGTTATCTGTAATCATATTCCATGTGATTTTAAACCTTTGAAATGTTTTTGAAATTGCCTTAAAGGCCAGTATATGGCCTATTTGGGTAAATGTTCCATATGCACTTGAAACAAATGTAAATTTTGCAGTTGTTGTGGACAGTGTTTTATATATATATATATCAAGTAGCTGGATTTTGTTAATGGCATTGTTCAGATCTTCTATATTCCTATAGGGTTTTTTGTTTTCTTGTTCTATCAGATACTGAGAGATGTATTAAAAAATGCCCAAACAGGATTATGAATTTGTTACATCTTTTAAGTCTGTGAAATTTTTCTTTATGTATTTTGAAGCTATATTATTAGGTGTATACAGATTTAAATTTTTTATATTTTCCTAGTTGATTAATCCCTTTCATTAGTTTTGTTTTTTGTTTTTTTGCTTTGTTTTTGAGATGGAGTTTTGCTCTTGTTGCCCAGGCTGAAGTGCAATGGTGTGGTCTTGGCTCACTGCAACCTCTGCCTCCCGGGTTCAAGCAATTCTCCTGCCTCAGCCTCCCAAGTAGCTGGGATTACATGCACCCACCACCATGCCCGGCTAATTTTTGTATTTTTAGTAGAGATGGGGTTTCACCATGTTGGCCAGGCTGGTCTTGAACTCCTGACTTCAGGTGATTCACTTGCCTCAGCCTCGCAAAGTGCTGGGATTACAGGTGTGAGCCACCATACCTAGCCCCTTTCATTAGTATTAAATATTCCTCTTACTATCCACTAATTCTCCTTTCCTTTGTCTGATATTGATATAATGATGCCAGCATATTTTTGGGGAGGAGCAGAGTTTGCATGGTATATATTTGTCCATCATTTTACTTTCAACATTTTTTTTATAGTATATCTCTTATAAGCACCATATAATTGAGATTTTTAAAAATCCAGCTTGGCAATCTTTGTTTTTACACTTGTTGTAATTACTGGTAAATGTGAACTGAAATCTACCTACTCACCATCTTAACATGAGTTTGCGATTCATCTTGCCTGTTCTGTGTTTCCTTTTCTTCTTTTATTTTGGATTCAATATTCTGTACCATTGCATTTTCCCATCTCTTAGCATATAAAACTGCAGAAAGGACTAAAACCAGAGGAGGGCACACAGAATCTTGACTGTTCTTCAGAAATATGTGGGACTCTGTTAAAATGAAGATTTCTGCTTCTCACTCCAGAAGTATTGAATCAAAATGTGGAGCAGAAACAGGCAAGGTGCATTTGTTTTTAAAGCTCCACAGGTAATTCTGATGGACAGCCAGTTGAACCATCAATCTAGACTCTGTTTCCTCCTACACCTTTGAAAGGTAAATACAGAAAATGAGGCTGAGAAAACACCTTTAGAATCAGTCCCCTTTCTTAGCACTTCAGTGGTTCCTGCACAGGTTGCAGATGCCGTGCTCTGGTTAGACTCCAGCCCCCAGGCTGGCTGGCTAGTTCCACCGTGCATAGCCCAGAGGCTCACCCCAATCAGGCAAGGGGCTCCCCATGTCAGCCAGGCTTGTCTTATCTGGTGTCTGACACCGCAAAGGCAGCAGCCCAAATATCCCAACCTGGCTTCCTTCTCCTCACTGCTTCCCTGATTCCTGGCATGGCCCTTCCGGAGGAATGGCAAGTCTTTACTTCCACTACACAGGAAGACCTGTAAGCAATGTGTGTGCTGAATCTACTCAATCACCACGTACACTGGACTTTTTGTTTTATTGTAAGTCATTACTGTTACAATATTGATGGCACCGCAGACTGCATTTTTATAAGGTCCTCTGGAAGAATCCCGAGCCCTTGTTTCCTGTAGAAAGGGTGGTTTCCTTTAAAATTAACCACAAAAGCCCTAAATAGTGTTACAAAAATGTGTATCTACTTCTTATGAAGTGGTTTAGTGCTTTCAGCTGTATCAGAAATAGTTAAAACTGGTATATCAATTTTACCTTCAACATTCAAATGAGAAAGCAAACTGGAGATAGAGCTAAACAAACACTTTTCTACCTTAAGCAAGAAGATATTGGGTACAGAGGCAGAAACCAAATAAGCAAAGAAGAAAATATACCGTTAATTGAAAACATAAAAAATTGTATCTATCTTAGTGTGACCTTCTTCCACCAAAATAATAATAATAATAATATAATATTAATAAATCAATAGCTATGCCCTAAAGTGGGTGCAGGCATTTTGATTTATAATATCATATTATACATATAATGCTTATGATATTGTCCTCATAAAAGCAAATGTTATACAGAGAAAATCTGACCTTGTTTTTCTGTTCTAACAATTTCTCAAAAAGATATTTTGTTGCAGAAAGAATTCTAAAGGATTTTTTGTTTATTTTTGTTTAGCCTTAAGGTTTCAAATGTATACTTTTATGTAAAAATAATAATAATGCAGTCTGTTCTGTGCAGAGTGTCCTTCCGGCCTCAGGGGCCCTGCAGCTGCCCTGCTTGGGGCTGATTTTCCAGTCCCTACAAGCCGACCACTCCTGTGGCTTTATAATATGAGCCCCTGAATAAATAGGATGAATATACAAAATTTGACCATTAAGAGAGACTGTGGCGGGGGTGAGGGCGGATGCAGATTTCACTGAGGGTCTTCCTTGGGAACGCCTGGCCCTCTCCTCAGTTAGCAGCCACCTGAGAAGTCTCCCAGGTCAGCCCTGCACACTGTGCCCAGGACACGTGTCCCTGTGGTGACAAGGCCACAAGGGAGGCAGGGACGTATGCAAGTCTTCCCCAGTGCTCCCTCCCTGAGGAGGGTGAGGACAAGCTGGCTACTGACCTGCCCATCCCTATCCTTCCTCCCAGGGAGCTGGCACTGACTCTAACACCTGCCCTTAAATGTTTCTCAGGGGTATATTTTGGACTTTTGTGTTGTGCTGTTTCACTGTGACACAGGCTGATTGGATTGGAAGCCAGAGGAAATCACGCGGCATCCTCTGTTCCCAAGATCTCCCCTGGGTCAGGCAGTGCACACGCATGCCCTCCCCAGAGGCTCAGGCCTCCTGGGTGATGTGGTTCAGCAAGCAGCCTGACCTGGATCCCATTCCCCCGTGGAGGTCCCCAGGTAGTTGTGTTGGCCTGAAAGAAGGGCTCAGGGCAACAGCACAGAAATTTACCTCCTAGAAAGGAAAAAAGGGAAAGACCAGCAAATAACAGGAAGGAACAGGGCCTAAACTTCCTTCCTTGAACCAAGGGTCCTGAGGGAGAAGAATTTCAGGAGAATCTGAGAATGACCCTTGGGGAACTGATGCATAAATAGTTAGCAAATAAAATGGAACATCTTTCTCGGTACTTTCATTTCCAGGTATCTCCAGAGTTATTTAAGAAGAATTTTTAAAGATTCTGCCTTTTGTTCAGGCCCAACGCAGTGCAAAGTTTAGCCAGGTTTCTCTCTCCCAAACAGTGCAAAGTGGGTTGGTTCACGATGACACCATGGTTGACAGTGTGTACTTAAACTTCTGTGATCTCACTTAATCCTTACTGCAACCTTGTAGGGTGGCAGGCAGGGACTGACACCGCCCTGTGGAGGTGAGGCACCTAAGCTTCAGGATGTGTCCATAACGTGCAAGAGTCTCCTGGTGTGGTCCTTCTGCTCCTGTCCTACTGCCACTTCTAACTCATTTTTGAGAAACAAGCTGCTCTTTGTGGCCAAATACACCTGAGAAAAATGGCATTACTTAGCATTTGTGAAAGCGTCCCGAGGACAGGCAAGGTGATAAAGTGAAAGGGCCTATAACAAAGTGATCCCCTGAGAAAGTTATATGCACAAAGGAGCGCAGTTAGAACTGACACGGTTCTCTGGAGAAATCTTTGAAATATTTGACCAGTCTGAGTCCTAACTGCAGTAAAAATTCCTGGGCATGCTTGTATTTAACATTTTAACACAAGTTAACAACATTTTGGTAAACACATCTTAGGTGGGAGGGAAGGTGGTGGTGAGAAAGAGGGAAGGGCAGAATCTGGGGTATGTGTGGGGCTTGGAAGCCAGGCTGCCAACAGTCCTTGCAGCATGCTGTGCCATGGGAGTCCCGTGGGCTTCCAGCTAACAGCCATACTGACCATTGGGAATGAGGTGCCTCTCAGCCCCGAGGCCGTTCTTTAAACAATCCATCTCTTTGCCTTTGGTACCGTCTTCCTCTTCCTCCTCGTCTTCCTCTTCCTCTTCCTCTTCATAATCCTCATCATCGCTTCTCACATCCTGGATGTTCTAGACAAAGGAAAGAATTGGCTGAGTGACAATCTTCCAGGAAGAGTCTTGAGTAAATCTGCCAACAGCCAGTTTCAAGTATGGCTCCCTTTAAGGAAAACCCAATATCCAAATAACTAAACATTCACCAACATTGACTATATCATGGATCATAAAGCAAACCTTAACAAACCTAAATAATTGACATTACGCAAAGCATATCTCTAGACCATAATGGAATTAAGCTAGAAACCAATATCAAAAAGATAATAGGGAAATTTCAAAACACTTGGAAATTAAATAAGACCCTTCTAAACAATCACTGGGTCAAAGAGTAAGATTCAAAGAATATTAGAAAATATTTTAAACTAAATGAAAATTAAAATGCAACATATCAAAATTTGTTCAATGCAGCTAAAATAATGCTTGAAAGGAAATACATAGTATTAAATGTTTATATTCAATAAGAAAAAAAGCTCTCAAACAATTTGAGCTTCAACTTTAAGAATCTGGAAAAAAAGAAGAGCCAAATAAACCCAAAGCAAGCAAAAGGAAGGAAATAATTAGGGCAAAACAATTAATGAAACTGAAAACAGAAAAAGCAATAGGGAAAACCAATAAACCCAAAAGCCAATTCTTTGAAAAGATCTATAGCATTAATAACTCACTAGCAATATTGATAAAGAAAAAAAAAGGGAAAGCACAAATTAGCAGTAAAGAAAAAGAAGACAAGACTATAGATACTGCAGACAATAGAAGAATAACAACAGAATGCTATGAACAACTCTCTGCATATACATTTGACAACTTACATAAAATGGGCCAATTTCTCAAAAACTACAAACTACTAAAACTTGCCCCAGCTGAAATAGGTAACCTGGATAGTCATATAACTATGAAGGACATTTAATTTGTAATCAAAAACCTTCTGAAAAATAGCAGCATTAGGTCCAAATGTTTACATTGGTAAATTCTATGAAACACACAAAGGAGAAATAACACAAAATATCCACAATCACTTCCAGAAAATAGAAGAGGAGGGAACATGTCTCACTTTATTTTATGAGGCCAGAATTAACCCGTGTAAAGTTTTTGCAGATGTGATTAAGATCCTTGAGATGAGAATAGTATCCTAGATTATGTAAGTGGGCCCTCTATGGCATCACAAGTGGTCCTTATAAAAACTGAGGCAGAGGAAGGGCCAACACACAGAAGAGAGGCAATATGAAGACAGAGAAGAGACTGGGATGCTGCAGTTACAAGCCAAGAAATGCTGGCAGCCACCAGAAGTTAGAAGCAGCAAAGAACAGATGCTCCCCTAGTGCCTCCGAAGAGAACACAACCCTGCTAATTGACACCTTTATTTTAGTGCAAAACTAATTATGGACTTCCAACCTCTTGAACTGTGAGAGAATACATTTCTCTTATTTTTAGCACCAAATTTGTAGAAAATTGTTACAGTCACCATAGAAATTAATACAACTAGCAATGGCCAATTAAAAACTGAAATTTAAAAATCTGTGCCATTCATAATAGTTTGAAAAATCAAATATCTAGGTATACACCTAACAAAGCATGGATAGGATCTGTATTTAAAACCTACAAAATTCAGAGAGAAGTCCGAAATTCTTTGAAAGAAATCAAAGAAGATCTAAATAGTTGGAGAGACATACTATACTATGTTCATGAATTGGAAGACTGAACATAGTGAAAGTGTTAATTATCCCTGTAGTATCCTATAGATTTCACACAATACCAATCAATGTCCCAGCAGACTTTTCTATAGATGCAGACAATGTAATTCTAAAATTTCTATGGAGAGGCAAAGGAACTCGAATAGCTAAAGCAAATCTGAAAAACATAATAAAATGGGAGGACTTACACTGCCAAATTTTAAGACTTATATAAAGTTACAGTAATCCACATAGGGTGGTATTTGCAAAGGAATAAACATGCAGATCTAGAAATAGATCCACACAAATATGGCTGATTGAATTTTTACAAAGGTTCAAAGCAATTCAGTGGAGAAAGAACAGTCTTTTCAACAAATGGTCAGAGCAACTGGACATCTGTAAGCAAAGAAGTAAACTTTGACTAAAATGTCATACATTGTATAAAAGCCAGCTTAAAGTGGGTCATGGATCTAAATGTAAAATATAAAACTATAAAACTTTTAGAAGAAAACCCATGACCTTGATCTGGGCAATGAGTTCTTAAACACGGCACAAAAAACATGAAAGAAAAAAACTGGCAAACTGGACTTCATCAAAATTAAAAACTTTTGCTCTAAGACAGACACTAATCAGAGAATGAAAAGATAAGCTGCAAACTGGGAGAAAACATTTGCAAATCACATATCCAATTTGTATGCATAATAAAGAACTCTCAAAACTCAATGGTTAAAAAAAAAAAAAAACCCTAATTTAAAAAATAGGCAAAAGACATACAAAGAGACACTTTATCAAAGAGGACACAGGATGACAAATAAGCATATGAAAGGATGTTCAACACCATTAGTCATTAGGAAAATGCAAATGGAAACCATGATGATGTACAACTACAAACCCATCAGAATAGCAAAAGTTAAAATGACTGGCAATACCAAGTGCTGACAAGGACGCAAAACAATTGGAACACCTACACAATGAAATTACTGACAATAAACTACTACTAACAATAAAAAGGAACAAACTATTGACATTTATAAGAAGTTGGATGAATCCTAAAGATATTATGCTGAGTAAAAAAATGTTAGTTTAAAATATGATCTATTATATGGCACATGAATATCATTTTCATGACATTCTCAAAAAGATAAAACTATAGGGATGGATAACAGATAAGTGGTTGCCAGGAACTGGGTTAGAGGGAAGAGTTATTCCGGGTGATGAAATGATGCTCTGTATCTTGATTATGGGGATGGCTGCACAAATATATGCACATGTTAAAATTCACAAAACTCTACATCAACAGAAAAATGTCCATTTTCCTGATAATAATTTTAAAAATAAAATTTATAAGGATTTCTTTTTAGGAAGAAAATACTGTGGGTTTTCCCACTAACATTTGCAAAGTGAAGTACTACTCAAGTGGGCATTTTGGTTGTCAGGATATTTTTATTACTTGTAATTAGAATGTTTTCTATTTTATTCATGCAAGAACTCCTTCAAGGACAGTTACTCATTATGAGTTATATGTTTCCTCCTCTTCTCTCATGGTGTCTCAAAGTAATTCTGCAGAGAAATCTAGAAAAATAACATCGCCCCAAGGAAAGGAGATGGAGGTGCCATAGATCCGCTGTCATTGTGGAAGATAAAGGATGATATGAATTATTAAAACAAGTAAGATAACTCAAGCTCTGTACATGTCCAGTGATAGACATGACCCCGGGATCACCCTCTAGGCCAGTTCACAAATGTCTCTATTAAACCCAGGTTAGAAAAGAAAAAAAAATATGGAAGATGAAGACTGTTTCTTCTCACATAATTTTTTGAGATGATATCCATAACTGTACAACTGATTTTTTTTCCTTTTGTGACCTGCAGACTAAAACTGACCACCTCCCAAGAGTCTCCGCATACATGTAACCAAGTACCTCCTCTGTGTGTAATCTGAACATGGCTTTTGAAAACCCAATGTGCACACATTATACTGGCTTAATCACAGAAATGCAACTTCATGGGGCTCTTCTCTGTATGTTCGGTGCTTTTCTACAACACCACAGAAAGGGTGTCAAAATAAACAAGCCTCCCTGTAAACACAGAGGAATAAACTTGGTATCTCCTCAGTTAAGATGCATCAGAGAAAGGCAACCTTTCTCTGATATGCTGGGAGCCGGGATCAAAAGCACTTCCTCCTCCAGATGAAGCCTTTCAGGAAAGAGCCATGCTTAGTTGATGCTTGCTTACATAGTCACTGCCTCTTCCTTTCTCAAAAGATTTCTGTAGAGAACAAGGGTATATTAGTCTGTTTTCATGCTGCTGATAAAGACATACCCGAGACTGCAAAGAAAAAACTCCTTCCACACTGGTTAGGAGGCCTCACAATCATGGCAGAAGGCAAGGAGGAGCAAGTCTTGTGCAGGGGAGCTCCTCTTTTTAACACCATCAGATCTTGTGAGACTTGTTCACTATTGCGAGAACAGCATGGGAAAGACTCACTCCCATGATTCAATTACCTCCCACTGGGTCCCTCCCATGATACATGAGAATTGTGGGAGTTACAATTCAAGATGAGTTTTGGGTGGGGACACAGCAAAACCATATCAGAGGGGAAACTCAAATCAGAATAAAGAATCTAATTTCTCTCCAGAATGGCATACCAGCATCTACCCACCCATCTCTGCAGGACTTAAAGAGCTGTGTTAGCTAAGAAAGACACCAGTCCTTGAAGGTACCACCCTATCTGCTCCCAGCCACACACCCTCCAGCCATTTGCCTTTAACAAGAGATCCCAATTGTATAGGGCCTGTTGGAACTTTATAGCATCTTGGCGGTCACAAAGGTTAGAGAATACTACTGACATTTAGGGAGCAAAGGCTAGGGATGCTGGCAGTCCTGCAATGTGCTGACATTCACATGTCCCATCAGATATGCATGTAGGTGAAAACCCTGTCTGTAACTATCCAAGCCTAGAATCTGACTCCTTTGTACATTCAAGCACAATAATTTTTTGGATGGTTTTAATATATTCTGAATTGTCCAGGATTGCAACTATGTATATAAGTCAAAGTAAGACTATACAGTTTGCCCTCCATATCCATGGGCTCCACATTTGTCAAAAATATTCAGGAAAAAAAAAAAAAAGAATGGTTGTCTCAGTCCTGGACATTTACAGATTTTTGTCATTCCCTGAAAAATGTAGTACAACAACTATTTACACAGCATTTACATGGTATTAGGTATTGTAAGTAATCTAGAGAAGTACACAGGAGGCTGTATGTAGGTTACATGCAAATGCGACATCATTTTATTTATTTATTTATTTTTCATTAATTAATTTATTTTGAGATGGAGTTTTGT